CGTAGCGGAAGGTTTTCGGTCAGTGCCAATGCCCCGTATCGACGGCGAGCGCGTTGTTTTTAGGCTGGTGAAATCACCCAGCGCTGAAGCGCGCGTAATCGCACAGGGCTTAGGGGTGGCTTGGTTTTTTTGTCCTTCAAGTGTCTTGAGAAATTTTTTTTTTTTAATTTAAGCTGGATTTTTTTTTTTATTTAGAACACATACTGTGAACTGTGTTCGGACAGAGGAGTAGAACTACTGAGGAATACGAGACCTTACTGAAGAGATCGGTTGTGAGAAATAACTTTGACTGAACTTCTGCCATGAATTCTGTCATCTCAGTTACACTTAGTCTGTTCTGGTGATGTTCGTATCTAACAGAAGAGTTGTGTTTCACCCTATCACTGGCGTTGATGTAAAATACGCGCCGAGTTAGACATTTTTAAAGTGACTTTAATATTTTATTTTTAAAGCTCCTTGAAGGTTCTGCTTTTAGTTAAACAAACGCTGTCAAGTGCTCCTGATTTTAATCTCTGCTTCTGGAAAGGTTCTTCTACAGTTTCAAAATCTGCATCTTCTGGCCCGTGCCGGCTGTAATTTCCCTTTTCCCATGAGCTTCATGGGTCGGTGCGGCGTCAAATCGCTGTTACTCCGCGTTGCCCCTCCGTGAGCCAAGATTTCTTTCACGGCCCCATCGAGCTGACCGAGGTCCAGCTGCAAAGGGGGAGGAGAAGTTAAAGCTCCCTCTTGCTTCACACCCAGCAAAGGGAACATGAAACCGTTTTGGGGGGTGAGCTCACCCACGCTCGTTTGGCTTTCTCAGGCAGCGCAAGGGTGAGGAGCTGAGGAAGATGTTTTGAACCCAGAGGGTTTCAACCAAAGGCTGGGCAGGTCCAGTTTTGTCCCAGCCAGCATTTGACATAGCCTGATTTCTAAGAATTGGATGCTCAAATCCCTCTTTGGAGCATTTAATTACCATTTGTAACGCTGCCGTGTAGCAGGAAGCTCTTTCTCACTCCCCTGTAAAGCCGAAGGAAATAATTACCCATTGTAAAGGCGCTCAAGTATTTGTAGTATTGCCAGAAGAATTCACGCGGGGGAAGCCCTGCCAAAGTATCTCCTCTCGTACCTCAGCCCGCCTGGGAAACCACTGTGCTGGCTTCCCCCGCGCTCACCGGAGAGGGCTCCCGAGGTCTTTCCTGGCAATGCTTTGACTCGAATTCGAGAGAGTTTTCTTTCCAGTCCCGGCATGTCTCAGGGTAAGGTGGGCGCTGGTTTATTTCTTCACCTGTCCCTTATCTTTTGATACGGAAAGGATTCTTCATTTTTTTCCAGTCACAACTAAAAGGTAAAGTAGTAAGATTCTCTGTGTTTGTTGCAGAAGTTGTGGGAAGAGAGAGTTGAAGGGGCTTTTGTTTTGTTCCAGTGACAATAAGCATCTTTTTTTGTCTGTCGGTGTTACTGTATCGTCAGATCTATCCCACGTGCTCTGTCTCTTTGGACCTTTCCCGCAGTAGGCTTAAGGTTTGGTGGTTTCATTCTGCGTTGCTCTATACTGGAAACTATTTGAACGTATTCTGCTGGTGACGGGCAACACGTCAGACGTGAGACACCGTTAGTGCTGTGATTCTCGAGGGCTGTAGTCGAGGAGCTGTGTGTCTGCAAGTATTTCACGTGGGAGCAGAGAAGTTCAAACTTGAGCTGCTTGGATTTTGCATCGTCGGGTTATTGCAAGAGTCCGGTTGGATCTGTACTGTTCGTGGATGGCAATTTCAAACTCCAGAAGCAATAATTTCTAAGGAATGTTTCTCTTCCTGCTGGTTAGATGGCTTTCATAGAGATTTATTACCTAAATAGCCTTTTAATAACACGAATCTGGTCGTTCGCTAGCGCTGGCAGTCAGCAGTTACGGAAAGACGTGTGTTGTTCATCATCAGAAGGGAGGAAGCCAGTAAATCCAACGGAGTTTAGTGCTCCTTCAAACACACAATGTCCTTTTCCCCTTTCACTTGGAGCCTTTTTCTAGACTATGAAATATTCCTGCCACGGTGGGCTGAAAAGGAGGCAGCTGCAAATTTCACCTCCTGGTTTTCCTGCCAGCGCCGATGCCAACCCTGTGACGAACGCGGTTTTCCATGGAGGCAGGGTAGCGCGGGCTGAGCCCATCTTGTTCCTCTCCCGTCTGATCTGAATCCTCCCTGCCCAGCGAGGATTATTGCCAGGCCCCTCGCTGAAACCTCGGTTCCGTCGGCAGAAACGCGTCCACCCGCCTGCCCGCGGTTTGTGGCGGCCTCGTCTTTCCTCCGACGTCCACCCTTCGAGGCAGGATTTTCATGGCGAACCAATGGGGTCCTGTGACCACCTGGGTTGACGTCACATTTACAAAGAAAGGTGGAAAAAGTCACAGGTTGTTCCTGGGAGAGCAACCGGGGCAGGAGGAGATTTGGGGAGAGGGGAACTTCCTTCCCAGAGCCGCTTCACAGGGGCCGACGTTGGGTTTTCACGTTTCCAGTAATTTGACGTAGCCGGGTTGGTCGAGTCTGTGATGAATCGTAGTTCAGTCACTGCGAGTTGGGTTTTTTTGGGTGCGCGCGTGTGTGTGTACGTGTCTGTGTGCGTTGATAGACGTACCGCTTGGGCCAAAATGTCTTCGGGGGTTGCGTGCTCATCGTCACTGCGCTCAGCGATGTTTTCCGCTGAGTTCTCCCATGTTTCCCTCGCGCTAGTCCGAAGCGAGACGAGCTCGGCTATAAATACATTATCCTAGTGAAATAAATAAGCAAACTCCTGCATGATATTCCAAGCACATGTAGCAGCTTCGGCATCTGACGTATCTTAATTGTGAAAGAGAAGTTGGTTTTATTCGCTTCGTCCTTGTTTCCTTTTAATAGGCCAAATAAATGTAACGAACACCAAATGTTGCACAGAAATGTTGTTAATGACTGTGTAGAAGAAATACCAAATTTTATTTTTTCTTTGCAGAGACTTTTATGGTTACAGAGAGTCCTCTAGCTGTTATTTCTTCCTTAAACGACAAAGCTGAACGTTTGTAAAGCGCGTTGAAAATGGTCTTTTTTTTTTTTTTTTAAAAAAAAAAAAAAAGTGGAGCTACCCAAAGTTTTCTGTTTCTCATGTTGCATCCAGAACACGCCTTTGGCAGAGGGGAGATGCAGGAGCTCAGATACCAACCGGCCTTTTGATTTCGAGGCTCAGCAGCCCGTTACAGTCGGGACATTGCGTTTGGGAATAACGAAAAAGGCTCGCTCG